TTATCTTTCTTTTATTACTATGCTATTAAGAAGTCCCTTCCAGGTACTACTGAAGCAACGATCAGAATCATGGAAAGAGGGTGGATTCATGCCAGCAGAATCAAAGGACTTGTGAAGAAACCTGAGGAATGGACTATCACCTTTAAACCGGGTGATGCCGAACTGACTTTCCAATGAGGACTGAGTGGTAATAGTTTGAGAAAACCCAGATGATCCAAGAAATGTACAAAGAATAACACTGAATTAAGAAATAAGATAATGCTTATATCACTGGTTTCGAGCACTGCCTGAACAAAACATCTCCTTGGGGGAGGAAAACTTCAGATAGAAAGATCAAGACTAGTTTGTTTTGTATTCTGACCTTAGCCTGAGAATTGCACAAGGGAGAAGGGGAATTGCCATTTCCATTAGTAAAATTTATTTGATGCATTCCAATACTGGACATGCTAGCTGGGTTATAAGTAAATGCTTAAATTGTGAGAGTAATTAGTGTTGTGATTTGCAAAATTTATGCTCTTATTGCAAAAAGTGTAAAAGTACTGACTTGGTTTTGTGGATGGGAATTATTAGTGCCTGTTGAATGAGAGATACCTGAGGAACACTAAGAGACCACAGTTAAAGAGTGTCAAAAACAATTTGCCTAGAAATTAGTTAAGAGAAAGTGACAAGAAAATAGAGGGCAAGACCAGATTGGCCTCTGTATTTCGCCACCGAGAAGATCAAATAAACCTGCTGTGGGTTGCAACCTCACAGGCATGGGAGGTGGGAGTATAAGCCATACTGGACCTCTATTATTCCTGTTTCTGGCACTCATTTGTTGTGTTTTCCCTTTCGGGATACCAGCAAGATCGTGTCACAAATGCTACATAAAGCATCATATAGAATGAAACCTAAGTTCCTCTTTTATTACACACACCTATGTCAACAGCCACTGTTATAACCCATCCAAATTTAGAACTTGTAGGCAAAATAGAGTAAATTATTAGATTACAAGAAACTTAAGAATAAGTGGTAATAGATTTAGAACTGAATGTCCAAAAGGAGAGAGATGGATTTGTTTTAAATTCAATCTTGAAGATACGGTTCAAGATTTCGTAAAAAACAAATAATAAACGAAAAGCTAAAACCAGCACAGCAATCTACCTCTGTATTGACTCCAAATTATCTGTTGAATTGTATTACAAGACTCCAGGCAGTTACAGAAATGGTAGCAAATAAGGCTGCCCAGGCATTAGAGTTAATATTAAGTCAGCTAAGCCAAACAAAAACTGTAGGATATCAGAATAGGTTGGCTTTGGACTATTTATTGGCCAAAGAAGGGGGTGTTTGTAGAAAGTTCAATATATCAGATTGTTGAAAGTTGATGACCACTGAATGACCAATGAAATGTCATTTTAGCAAAAGCAAAAGAAATCAAAGAAGAAAAATATATATGCATATAATAACCCAGGTACCAGTCCAAAAATTAGAAAACAATGTTAAAATCTAGCTGGTGGGGTGATGTATTAGAAGAAATTAAGATCTTTTCATTTTGTGTTACAACTGTTTTTATATTACTTACTTGTGTAATCCCCTGTTTTATTTTGCCAGCATAGTCCAGAAGATGCAAGTAGATAAAAAAATATTGCTCAAGCCAAATGATTTACAAAGAATAAGAGTGGAGATTGTGAAAAATGCATGTATTTTATGATTGGATTTTCGCAAATATTAAAATGAATATTATATGTGTTGTGTTAGAAAGTAATGCTGTATTAATTTTCTTAAGTACTGTGTTAAATATAGTTTTAGGTTATAAAAATTGTTAAAATAGAAATGATGCTATGTAGGATGCTTTGTTTAACAGAAAGGGCTTGCAGCGAGATAGCAGCCACAGGACACCTAGATCTTTCAGAGAAAGGGAATTTATTGCCTTCTTATCAGAAGAAACAAACTTCTTCCCAGCTTGGAGGCGCTGTTAGGATCAGAAGGAAGATGTTGACACTGACCAGACAGAATCCTGTGTTTGAATGGAATTTATGCATCATGTATGAAGTGTATGAATATGCAACAGGCTATTGTTCTTAAGGGTTAATCCTTTGTTAACGGGTGTCCTTTTTCCGGGCTCGTGATGCCCAGAAAAAGGTACCCGGACGTCCGTAACTCTTTGTTTTTATTGTCTCATATTGTCTTAATTCAATTTGTCCAAGTTCTTATTACTCTAATTGTGTTACTATTTTTATAACTATTTTATTGCTATTAAACTTTTAAAAATTTTAAAAACAAGTGATTGGCGTTTTTCACATATAAAATGAATATTATATGTGTGGTGTTAGAAAGGAATGCTGTATTAATTCTTTGAAGTAGTGTGATAAACATAGTTTTAGGTTATAACAAAATGTTAAAATAGAAACTATTCTATGTAGGATACTTTTTTTCCGAAGAAAGGACTCGCACTGAGATAGCAGTCTGTCCTGGTTTAGGGCAAATTTGTTAAAGAATCTGCAAAGGAGGGCCCCTCCAGAAAGCAAAACCCACACGGCCCCTCCCCCTAACCGGTTCGGGAAAAAATTCCTCGGAGAGAGGAGGAAAGAACCTGTTTATTTGACTGGCCCAGCATCCCCCAGCACACAAAATGAACAATACCCAATGACACCGCTTTGAGAAAGATGGCAAAATCAGAAAGTCTCTTTCGGGGGTGGTTGCTCTGTTCTCAGTCCCTCCGGCGCTGGGCCAGCTGCTGCAGTCGAACCTTCGGTGTTCCCGGGTCCCGGTCCGGAGCAGGTTCGAGATGGTCACAGAAACAGGAGAGGAGAAACAGTCCAGGAAGCAATGTGGACTGTTTAGCTAAACTAGCTAATAAGCAGAGGCGAAAGCAGAGCAGAAGCAAGAGCAGAAAAAGAGAGCAAGCAAAAGCAGCAAGCTGAAGCTGGAAGTGAAAAAACAGCCTTGTGTACCGCTTGTCTCTGTGTCCCTGATAAGAGAACCCCAAACAAAACTTCCACTCTTCAGAGCCGGTCTTAAAGGCACAGAACAGATGAATGGGGATATACGAGCATCGTAACGTCACCCCAGGACACAGTCACGGGACACTTAAATCTTTCAGAGAAAGGGAATTTATTGCTCCACTATCAAAAGAAACTAACTTCTTCCCGCCTCGCAGCAGAGGATGATGCCGTTTGGCTTATGAGGAAGAAGTTGACGACGACCAGAGAGAATCCTGTATTTGAGTGGAATTTATGCATCATGTATGAGGTGCATGAATATGCAACAAGCTATTGTTTTTAAGGGTTAATCCTCTGTTAACGTGCGTCCTTTTTCGGGCTTGCGCTGCCCAGAAAAACGTACCCGGACGTCCGTAACTCATTGTCTCTATTGTCTCATATTGTTCCAGTTCAAATTGTCCAAATTATTATTACTCTAATTGTATTACTATTTTTATAAGCATTTTATTACTACTAAACTTTTTAAAATTTTTTAAAATTTTAAAAACAAGCGATTGGCGTTTTTCCCGTACAACACTTTCATCCCGCCGCTCTCGGGCCGCGCGTACCCGCCCCTCCCCATCGGCGCTATCGGCATTCGGCGCATCGACTGCTCTGGGAGTGGCTTTGCTGCCTGCGCTGCGTCCCGGCAGGGCGGGAAGCGTAGGCCGCCATCGAGAGCGGAGGCCGGACAGGGGAGGGGAGGTGAGGGGTGGTGAGGGGCTCTGGGACCCGGGGTCCAGGATCTGAGATCCAGGTGAGAGCAAGAAGGGGCTAGCTCGGGGCTTCTTCTCTGGAGTTCCTGTCCTGCCGTCGCAGCCCTCTTCCTCCCGGAAAGGGCCGGAGCGGGGCGGGTGTGTGGCCTGCGGGCGGGCAGACATGTAGACAGACAAGCCGCCCCCCACTCGCGGTGCCGCTGCTCGGGGTTGTGAAGTGTCGCCGGCGTTGGCAGCTGTCGCGGCCGGGGGTTCGCTAACGCCTCTCCTGTGTGCTCTGCCCGCAGGCAGTTCGCGGGTGCCGCCGAGAATGGACATCAGGCCGAACCACACCATCTACATCAACAATATCAATGACAAGATCAAGAAGGAAGGTACGAATGGCTGCCGATCGCTTCTGGTTGTCCAGTGAAGCCTGGTCATTCACTTGCACACGGCACTTGTCTTACAAAGGGGCTTTTAGGAGCTCCCGGAGGTCTCTGAAGTGCTGAGCAGGAGATCATTATCCAAGCTCTGGGCAAACGCTTTCTTGTAATGAAACAGTAGCTAAAGCAAACAAATTCACCTCCCACTAGATCAGGTTGCTGAGATCTCCCTACAGCCAGCCCAGTCTTGAACGCTTTTAGCGATGGGGAGTCCACAGCCTCTCTGGGAAGTCTGTTCCAGTGCCTCACCACCCCGACAGTAAAGGATATTTTCCCAATATTACATCTCAGCCTCCTCTCAGTTTGAAGTCATTACCCCTTGTGCTGTCGCTCCAAGCCCTTGTATATAGTCCTTCTCCATCTTGTAGGCTCCCTTCAGGTACTGGAAGGCCAAAGATCACTCCTAAGCCTTCTCTTTTCCAGGCTGAACAACCCCAAAACTCTCAGCCTTTCCTCATAGGAGAGGTGCTCCATCCCTCTAATCAACTCGGTGGTCTCCTGGCCTTGCACCCACAAGCTCCATGTCCTTCCTGTGCTGCGCACCCCAGATCTGGATGCAGCTCTGCAGGTGGGGTCTCACCTGAACGGGGCAGAATCCCTTCTCTCACCGGGTGCTGCCCACTCCGCTTTGGATGCAGCCCAGGACATGGTTGGTTTCTGGGCTGTGAGTACGCATGTCCAGCCCCTTCTCCACCATCACCCCAAGTCTTTCTCAGTGCTGCTCTCCATCCCCTGTCCATCAGCCTGGGTTGATGCTGGGGGTTGCACTGACCCAGGTTTAGCACCTTGCACTTGGTCTTGTTAAATCTCGTAGGGTGTTAAACTACCTGTTAAGATTACAAATTACTTTCTGTTTTAATACAGGTCTTAAAGTAATTTTTAGGGAAAGTGTTTTGATAGAACACCTTTTTTTAATAAAAAAACCATATAGTTAATATAGTTAGTCAGGAGCAGGTGGAGAAAATGACAGTGGACTGATATTACCAAGTCTCAATATCAATAAAGAAGAGACAGCATTCTTATATTGCTAAAATAGTTAAAATGTAAGGGTTTTGTGTTAGAATGATTACACAGTACCTATTATTTATTTAGCTTGATTTGGATAGTACTAAGGTTTAATTTGGCATGTATTCAGGTAATGGTAGATAATTAAAATAATCCAATGCAGCCATAAGCTGCAGTAGTCTCATACAAAAATAATAATTTGGATCCAGAATATGGGTGAGAAAATTGATTAAATGGTTACAACCAAAATTTCCAACTTTTTTTAGCCTTTTAGCCTATTTTGCTGCATTCTTGTTTTGCATCATATCTCTTTACTGCTGCTTGTTTCAGTTTTGATTTTCTGATCAGTCCAAGATGGCTGTCACGCATCATACTTGTGTGTGCATATACCTGTATGAAAATACGTTTTTACATACCTTTATGTAATTGTGATTCCCTTGGAATGGTAGAATGGATGGCATTACAACTTCTTCACTACCTGAATCCTTGAGGTATGAAGCCGAATGTTGCACACCAGTTTACAAAACACGGACAAATAAACTTGTAATGATGTAACAGTTTTGACAAACTCATGTGCTTGCTGTGTGAGCTAAAGCTTCTAAAAAACATTGTTCCCATAGGACAGCAGACTCAGTAGAAGTTTGCATATAACCTGTTATAATCTGTTTTCTCCCTTGGTCCCCAGAGCTGAAGAGGTCCCTGTATGCGTTGTTCTCGCAGTTTGGTCATGTGGTCGACATTGTGGCTTTAAAAACTATGAAGATGAGAGGACAGGCATTTGTTATATTTAAAGAACTTGGATCATCTACCAATGCTTTGAGACAGCTACAAGGCTTTCCGTTTTATGGGAAACCAATGGTAAGCTATTTTGTTACCTTTGTAAAGAAGAAAAATACCCTGATGGTGTGATACAGTGTTTTTGGTACTTGCACCTTGGGAATGACCTCTCCTATGTAGTTGTTACCAAAGGATTACTCCGGTCACATCCTGATGAGTATCTACATTTGTGCAAGCTGGAGGGATGCTGAAGAGACTGCAGTTACAACACACACACTTTGAACTTAACATGGGGGACTTTTTGTTTTTCTATGCTGGATTAAAGTTTTTAAGATCTTAAATACTTTCATTTTACTCATCATGTCTTCCATTGAACCAATTAAATGAATTCTGAAATATTATTGAAATTAGATTAGTTTTCAATTACTTTATGTAGAGTAACATTAACTACTGTTAGATTGGTAATGTATAGCTAGAATGTGATGCTTCCTTTTTGAGGTAACAGTGAGAAGGGTGAAGATCTCCCGTTTGCTTTCCAGATGTGACCACTGATTTTTTCATTTTTAAATTGATGGCTAGTTCTGCTTGACAGTAGATCACCAAACCAAGTAGCTGTACTTCAGAATAACTTTGGTAAAGTTCAGTACTTCAGTAAATACAGTGCTGGTTGATAGAACATGATTTAGTAATGTGCTTCGTGTTATGCAGAGCAGCACAGTTGACCTGCTTTGTTCTTGCCTGCTTGGACAATTAAGCACCTCTTAATTCTGCGGCTGTTGGTAAGGTGTAACAATACATGCAAATGGCCCATGACTTCAGCAATAGATGGGTACAATTCTACTGGTTCTCAGCTTATGGCTTAGAGCAGTTGTGCTGCTGAGCCGCAAGCTATTTATTTGCCTTACCACCTTCAGATTCTCTAATTAAATCCTTAACACAGAATTTTGCAAACTCGTTCTGCCATTTATCCTTAAGGAGTTTTGTGCTCAGTAGAACTCAATAAGAAATAAAAGGATTGAGGCTTCATAAGCTTTCAAATGTACTTCCATCTTTGAACATTGCCTGCAGCATGTATACTCTAAGCGCTAAACAAAAGCATTAAAAAAATCTTAAGCTGTTGTGTAGTTTTGTATTGAGGTAGTCTCTGATAGGAAAAACAATAAGATTGTATGCATAAATAATAATGTTGCACACTGGTATAGTTATACCTGCATCTGCTTAACCTTCAGCTGTAGGAGGCCTTTGTCAAAAGAACAGCAGCATTTATGCAATCCTGTTGGGATTAAGGTGAATACTTGCCTTTTCTGTTTAAGAAGTTTTGGTTTTTGCTGAATTTACGTTTCTGCAGAAATCTGAGAAATCACTTTAAAATTTAACTTCCTTTAAAATGGGACTGAAAACTCACAGTTTTAATAGAAGCTAGTGCCGATTTTCTCAGTTGTTCTCTGTGTAGCTCAACTGTATCTCTCTGTAGGTGCTACCTTGACAGATGTTAAAAAGTTGTTGTTAGATAAAATAGAGTTCTGATTTCAATGAGCTAAAATTAGTAATTTGTATATTCGGGTTTTTTCTTAGACTTCTGTAATTGTGTTCAGAAAAAAACTATGAGAATTGGTTACTTTCTAAGTGTACCTACACTTTTTAACAATGTTACTAGAATAAAAAGTTTCTGCAAAAAAAAAGGGTAAACACACAGTTAATGTAAGTGGTGCAAAATGTTCTGTATTATTAACTGTAGAATATACTCTGTTTTTCTTTTAAAAAGCGTATTCAGTATGCAAAAACAGACTCCGATATCATTTCTAAAATGCGCGGGACTTTTGCTGATAAGGAAAAAAGAAAGGAAAAGAAAAAAGCTAAAACTCTGGAACAGTCAGCAAATGCACCAAATAAAAAGGTTATCCAGGTAAGCTGCTTCTCTGTTCAGAAAAAAAAAAACCAAACAAAACACAAAACCCCAAACAGACAAACAAACAAACCAAGCAAACAAGAGAAAAAATTCCATTAAAAAAAAAAAACCTACACAAAAGCTATTCTAAATAATTCTTTTAAGACTTGATATTGTCTTTTGTTTCTTTTCAACTCCCTAAATTGGGGTCTGTGGGTTATCTAGAGCTCTTGAGCATTTACTAGAAGTTGAAGGAGAGGGAGCTGGTTATGTAGCCTTGCTGTTCCTTTTTTTATCCTCCTTTGCTATTATCAGATGAAAATAAAGATGGAGGGCAAACGTACAACAAACCAAAGTAGAAACTAGCCAAAAAAAAGGAGAATGGGCTTATCTTTAGTACTGGCTTCAAGTGCTCAACCAGCTCTTCTCTTCAGTGTTTTAATTCCATGTTGCCTAATAAGGACAGAAGAATAGTAAATGAGAAGAAGAGAATTCATTTATGTTAGATATTACATGTTCCACGTTAGATTAACAGGAATTAGGTTGGAATTTATCTCCACTAAGGGTTGGTTTGCCTAAAGTAACAACATTTAGTAGCTTTTGTGCTGGAGTATAGCAGAAAACATCAAAACACCTGACCAGATCCCCCGAGTTTATATATTGGACATGATATTCTGTACTATGGAATGTGCCTTTGGACAGTTTTGGTCAGCTTTCCTGGCTCCCTCCTGGCTTCTTGTGCGCCTACTCGCTAGCAGAGCATGTGAAACTGGAAAGTCCTTGATACAAACAATCACTCGTTATCAACAACCAAAACATCAGTTCGTTATCAGTGCTACTCTCATATTAAATTCAAACCACACTGTACTAAGAAGAAAATTAATTCTATCCCAGGTGAAACCAGGATACTTGTCTAGGCCTTCATTTTCAAAACTACTTTCTCCCTGTCTACTAAATAAAATTCTGTAATGTGGAGAAATACTTGAGTCAGCCATTAGATTGATCAGGTGGTACTGATGTTATTTCTTTTGATTGCCTGGTTTTGGAGCCAAGCAAAATTCACAGGATCTGTTCCCTTTGAGAAGTATCTCATAGGCACCCAAATGTTCTTGGATTGCAGCTCAAAAAAAACCTTTAACATATGTCTTGAATTGGTGATATGTGCTTGTTTATTTCTAATGGAACACCTTTGTAAAACTATTTTGTACTTACTTGCTAGGGAGCAACACAGAATTCAGCCAGTGCCTCAGGGACTACACCACAGAATCAGGTAATGCTTTTTATTTTTATCACTAAAAGCACTAATGTTTATAATTATTCTCTATGAATATTAGTTTGTTACGCATGGAAATGTGAGGATTTATTTTACAGCTTTATTTTTGTCCTATGAGATATTTGTCTAACAGCTACATGACAGTAAACAAGCAAAACAAATCCCTTTTTTACTATATCTGGTAGACGGGAAATGAAAATCTGCAGTTTCTTATTACTATACAGAAAACAGCACAATTACAAAATCATAGTGGATTCTTAAATTTGGACTGTGCTTAGTATCAGTTGAAGGATTCTTAATTTTTTTTTTCCATTGCTCATAGGTTCCCTTTAGCTTACTTTTTTCTGGCAGCAGATAAAGAAAAGGAGGACAACATGGGATGCCAAAATATCTGCCTAAAAGCCTTATTTCAGGAGTTTGAGGGTTCTCTGCTCACTTCTTCCTTTTTCTCACAAGTGTCTTACTTTCCAAAGGATTGTGTGGAGATGTAGGAACAACTCCCTACACTTCATTCATCTTGTCTGCTCAGTGACCTTCTAAATGATTCATGTTAGAAGTGAAGGTGGTAAAGAGCCAGGGTTTACAGGAGAGCAAGTACCATAGAAGAATATCTTGGTCTGCCCTGCCCTGCATCTTTCTTGAGTACTGCCACTGCATACATAATCAACAGGGGAAAAGGTCCTGCTCCCTGGATTTTCAGGCACAATATGTGCATGTCAGTTTGCATCAAAGCACAGCACTGAGTGTTTGGGTATTCCTTTGAACATCAGAAGTTTATTTCCTAATGGCACTACCTAGAATATTTCCATCAGTAGAAGGAGATTGTTCTGCTGAGGCTTTTTATTTGGCACTGCTTTGAAGATGTTTGAAGTTGGGGTGTCCAGTTTATTTTTAGATTTATAATTTACTTGATGACTTGAAGATTTCAGTATCAGCAGATGACTACTCAGCCTTGTCTGTGGTGAGTGGCTACAAATTCATATTAGCAGGCTAATCTGTTACAAGACTAAAGCTCTAAATCTAAAGGGGTTTCTAATTACATTTTAATTGAGCTCTGTAATAAAACCATGTGAATTTTGTGAGTTTTGATTGCCCAGAGATACTCAGTATTTTGTTTGTACTGCAGGTAAACAGGGCTTGGCTACCCTCTGCTTTCTGGAAGGATGCGAGTCCTTCATACATTCTACCACTGCCTTACAGGTGTTTTGAATAGCTCTGCAACCACTGCTGTGGCACCTGGGTGCAGAGAGTACTGCAGTGTCAGCTCTTGACTAGTTGAGTTTAAATGTGACATCTAAGACAATATGGTATTGTGATTTTTGTGGAAGTAAGAACCTCTCCAAATTAATATATGTGTGTAAAAGAATGAAGGGGCTCTGTCTGCATATTGATAAAGGTGTGGTGAAGCCCAGATAGAATGTTATGAGCAAAACTAAAGGAATGTGAGTCTAAGTTCAAATAATCATGCAGACAGATGCACAGGAACTGTATGCAACTATGTATAGTCTTCTGAGCTTTGATCTTCTGTTGTTGCAGGTGCCTGATAACCCACCAAACTATATCCTTTTCCTTAATAATTTGCCTGAGGAAACAAATGAGATGATGCTGTCCATGTTATTTAATCAGTAAGTTTTGAATAGAAATTATTTCTTCTTTGAATTCTTCTGTAACCTGTGTGATTTTTCTCAGTTAACAAGCTCACTTCTTAGCAATGAGAGTTTCTTCTGAAGGTATTTTAGCTGTTAGCCTTACTGCCAAGGTTACAGATGTTGGTTCTGATGACTTGGTTCAGAAAGCAAATCTGACCTTTTTCGTAGCTGGTTTTGATTGTGTGGTTTATCTGCTATCAATTTGCATTGGATTCAAGCTGGTGACTGTAACACTAAAGTCCGTAGGACAGCAGGAGCCGTTTTAAAGCTAGTTAGATTGCTTCTGTATGTGTACAGCTCTAATTAAACTGCTTCCACATAATATTTCTTAATTGAGACATAGTTCTAAGGATAGAACATGTAAAACCCTTCAATTTAAATCTTCCATTAGCGATAACTATTGCACTAGTAGATGCTTCTGATAAGAAGCTACTGAAGAGAGCTGTATTATTGAGGTTAGGAGTATTTTTTGACTCTCACTTTATTTTAAAGGTTTCCCGGATTCAAAGAAGTACGCTTAGTGCCAGGGCGCCATGACATCGCATTTGTGGAGTTTGAAAATGAGAACCAAGCAGGGGCTGCTCGAGACGCTCTCCAAGGATTCAAGATCACTCCATCTCACGCCATGAAAATCACTTATGCGAAGAAATAGCTATATGATCCTATAAAGGACTTCTGTGGACAGGTGTTTTTTTTAAAAACACTGATACTCTGGTCAGCTACCATGTTTGCTGTTCCCTGCAGAAAACATAAGACTCAAATAGAATTGCCACAATGACCAGGGCACATGTAAAATTTTCACAGATCACCCGGATAGTAACTTTTTCTGTTGAAGTGCTAATTTTTATAAAATAAAATATAAATATGCTGGTTTTGAGCCATATTTTTTCCTCAAGTCTGTCTCATTATTGATTAGCCTTGCAGGGCTTTATTCAGTTTAGGAGCTTTTAAGGTGAGCCTTGTTTCTCAGAAGTGAGTGCTAAAAATAGCTTTCTTTCCAGAGCAAAAGTGTGATCAGGGATGCTGAATGCCAGCATAAATACAGAATAAATACAACATTCAACCTCATTATCAAGGGGACAGCTGTTTTTCACTTAGGAAATACAGCTTATTATTAGTGGTTTTTCTCCCCAGGTACAGTTAGAAATTGATTATAGTTTGGCAGTAATGCGATTCAACTTGGTTTTGTCTTGGTGACTGGCAGTAGAAACAAGTCCTGAGAGGAAACATAAAAGTTTCAGATTTTTAGCCAAGCTTTTCTGAAATACATGACCTAATGCTTCTGGGTTTCTCAAGGTTTGATTTACTTTATTTTTTCTCATTTGCTAAAAACTTTATAGGTTTTGTGTGACAGGAAGTGCATTGGATGCAGTGAAGTAATCAGATACAGTATTGTGAATTGTAACTGTTCTAAATATTTCAGAAAAAAAAAATCACTTTAGAAAGTTGTAGGGTTTTGTGTCTGCAACATAAGCCACCTTTATTTGCACAAGACTTAGAAAATTGAAGTTTCATCTGCTCCCAGACTACATTGCAAAATTATGTCTGTTTCACAGTCATTTCAATTACCGTCCTATCTCCTTTTATGTACTTTTTAATTCTTTTTGGTGATTTTGTGTATGTGTGTTTTCACAAGTATTCTAATACTTGCAAATGAAAATCATTCCAATGTGTCTGTAAGAGCAGTCATTCCATCATAACCTTGGATTTTTCCTGCTGCAGTCATAAATTTATAGATAATAATTATGCTGTCCTGTCCTCCCACTAGTTTGTGTGCACATGACTACCATTGTTTTTCACCTTTATTCACTTTAAGGGTTTGGAGCCTGACTGCTGTGCTGTTGTAAAGGGGACCTTTTAAGTCAGCCTGTGGCCCTGTTTGAAGGTCTGGGACCTTCAAACCCTCAACAGAGTTCAGCTAGGTAATGAAAAGTGAAATGGTTGCTGTCCTGGAATGACCTCTGTGTTTCGCTCTGACTGCATCTCCCTGTGGAAGGGGTCTTGCCTGTACAAGTATGCAGTGCTTGAGTTCTTAGATTTTGAATTTTAATTAATGACTTGAAAAGTCTTTTTACTGCCTTGCACAGCTCCCTAATCAGTTGTTACATTGCATCCATCTGCTATCATCCCAGTAGGTCCTTTCTGTAGGCGGGAACAGGGGAATCTCTGCCACTGAGGATTTTTGGTCGACAGAAGATTGTGCTTGTCAGGGAGCATTTGTGAAAATTAAGGACGGGAGTATTAAGAAGGAGGTAATTTCATTTGCTTCTTACCAGGGTCTGACTTAATTTTCATTCTCAGACTTTGCTTGAAGTATGATTAAGGCTATGGACAGCGCTAGGAGGGCTTAGAATGTTTAAATAATACAGTTGCTGATTAAAATATTAATACAGGGTGGTTTTGGGAGGAGATTCAGCTTTATGAGTCGGTCCTGAGGTTTTCCCCCTGCCTACAGCTCCTCTGGTGGGATGGATTGTTGCCATAGCCCCTTTCTATTAGCCTGGTGTGTTTGTCCAGGTGTCTGCCTCTTCCATAAAAGGTGGGGATTGCTGGACCTGGCATATACTCAGCAAGTGCTGCAGCAAAGAAAAGTGACACAAAGTGTTTATTTGATGATTTTACTTTTGTGTCTCAGATTAATGTGTCCTCTCACAACTGGAATTTTTATGGAGAAGCTTACCAACAAGAACCTGTGTACTGATGATGACTGTGTCTGTAAGTAAATTTGGTTTATCTTTGAGGACAAAATAGTTTAAAAAATAGTGGTGAAGGGAAAACTACTTTTCTTGTTTAGCTCTGTTACATATTTGCCTTGTCAACTGGCTATGTAGAATGCCACATGCATTTTACATAGTTTTACCAAAACAATGGGTTTTGTAAGGCGACATTTTTCACTTAAGTGAAAAGTGTAAAGAGCGATTCTAACTTTCAGTGCTGAAATTGCTTCTGAAGCTGTTATTTTGGTTACTGGAAAATGCACAAAACAAATTCTTGAAGACTAACTGTTTCAAGATAACCTACTTTTATGTAGGAACATTGTGGTGAAAACAAAGGGTCATACAGAGACATCTACTGATCTCAGCTTATTTTGCAAATGTGACTTTAAGGATCAGACTCTTTGTTCACATTTAAAATAGTCTATAGCACATCTTGACCATCTGTGTGCTGCCTGCTCCAGCAATATCTCCTAAAGGAACTGTTACAAATAGAGCTAGTGTTGCACCACCAGCCTTCCATCTGCAAATCAAAATCCAGTCTCCTCACAGCTCTGTGACCTTCTCCGAAAGCACTGGCAATGTTTTTGCCTTGCTTTCATATCCTGGGTTGACTATATGATGCTTTTATCCCCAGTCGTCTTGTTCTGTTTATGCTGAATAATAAGTTTTGCACCTTTAAGACTTGTTCCAGAGAGTGAAGGAGAGAGAGAAGAAGCACGCAGTTTGTTTTCAGACACTGCACTCACTCCTCCACATTCCTGCTCCTGGACTGTGTTGTCTGTGGATGAACAGACAGCGGGACAGAGCTCTCCTTTGCTTTTGGTTAGTTTTAGCTAGCTGAGACAAAGAAGTTCCCTGGACTGTAGTTTTTTTTCTTTTTCCCCTTTTCTTTAAACCTCTTGAAACCTGCTCTGGACTGAACACCCAGAAGAGCATCAGCAGCTAGCACCTGTGGCCCACCGGGCTGGGCCTGGCCCACAACATTTCCAGCACCAGAGGAACTGATAAGAGACTGAGTGAGCTGAACTGCAACCCGGGGAGGAGACTTTATCAGTTTGTCATCTCTTTTAGAGCAGCAAAGATTTTTATTGTTTAATATTTAAACAATATGAACAATAAAACTTAAACATTTAATATTTGAATGTTTAAGTTTTATTGTTTAATAAACATTTTCTCCAAAGAAGTATTTTCTCCCAGACCGGTTAAGGAGAGAGGCCGATTGAATCTGCTTTCCTAGAAGAACCCCTTTAGAGATTCTCTCCCAAATTTGCTCTGAACCAAAACAGCCTTACACCTTCAAAGCCCAATATTGGTGTAAGATGGGCTCTCTTTGGAAGGGGTTGCCATTTAAATGAGGAGATCTGATGCCCAAAGTTGAACAATGAATCATCACGCAGTGCAAATGACATTGTGTGAAGGAATGTCTGATGGGGAACTTGATGGGGAAAACCACTAAGGGGGACACCTCTTACATTGGAGAGAAGCCTAAAAGATAAAGGGTTCGGGGGCCTCTGTGTGTCCAACCTCCTTTTATTTCAGAGTATTTTTTCCTCCCAAAAAGGTAACTTTCACTGTCAGAATCAATGTATGCCATTAGCTACAGACCTTGCTATAATAAACCTTTCGGTCTGTGGACCTCTCTCAGGATCCTTTTGTGCAGCACTTGGGGTAATCCATGTGTGTTGGTTGGTGTTTGAGCATTAAATATCAATAGGTTGTTTTTGGTTTTTTTTCTCAGTGCTGAATACAACGGGCTGAACACAATATGCTGTATGCACATCAGAGTGTGGTGTTGGATTGCCCGCCTTCCCTCAGGCACTTAAAATTGGCCATTTGCTGGCTGAGTACTCTGGTTACCAGGAAGCAGATGTTCTGCAGCAGCTCCCTGTCTCCTGTTTCCAATGGGCAGCTATGTGGGATACACTGGATACACTGCTCTGATGCAGATGAGCAAAAGAGTGTGATAATTCCCTGCGGCAGAATCCAGATTTATGTAGGCAGATAAGGTAATAGCAGGAAGGAAGCAACATGCTCTGGAAGTATTTTCCCTGCCAGAAGTTTTCAAGCAAAATACTGGGATTTATTTTCTAGTCAGCAGTTCTCTAAGTGTACAGTCTAAGTCATCCTTTTCATGTGGGATTAGGAATTGTTTAAGGATAAAGGGTTACATATGACTAACCATTCCAAGTATTGGATTGTAGGAATACAAAAGAAAACAAACAAAAAAAGGAAGATAAATGAGTTTGAAATTAAGAGAGAAGGAGGTATTGTCTAATTAATTTTAAGAATTCAAGGCGGCAACAAATTATCTGAGCTGTGCAAAATGAGTCAAAAGACAAAACACCTCTTTCTTTTCCAGAGTCCTTTGAATCAACTATGGCGTACTTTGTGTATATTATAACATATTCACTTACCTTTGAAGTGCAATAAAAGAATGTTAATTCTTCAGTAATCTCAAAACATTTTTCCTCTTACCTCTCTTTTTCAAGATAATAATTTCTTTTGTGACTAGCACTGAGAGCAAGCAATCTCTTGGCTTCTACCAGGGAAAGCTGACAGGAGGAAACCTGGGCACCCTCTCTAAACACACACTTCCTGTAATAGATATTTGTGAAACAAGCAACCTTTCTTCAAAACAAGAACATTTCTATTTATAGAGAGTGATTTGGGATGAGGACACAGTCCCACACAGGATTTGTTCTTTAGAAATTTTTTGTGTGCATACATTTTGTTACTTGTTAGTAAAGCTGATAGCCTTTGTA